TGCACGGGAGGAAGAGGGGGGTGTAGGGGGGGCAGGAGGCGGGGTGATGGGTGGGGGGGTGGAGACGCGGGTGGACAGTGGGGAGGGAGGAGGAGAGGGGATTTGAGACGTGAGAGTCGGAGAGGAGAGACGCGTGGAGGAGAAGGAGGAGGATGGGGAGAGGGGTGTGAGAGAGGAGCGAGGAGAGAGAGAGAGCGTGGAGGAAGAGGAACAGAGAGGGAGGAAAGAGAGAGAGAGGGTGGAGAGATGACAGAAGAGAGGGTGGGGAGAGGGTGGGGAGGGAGAGCGTTGGAGAGGAGGGAGAGAGGGAAGAGAGAGAGGGGGGAGGGAGAGAGACGTGAGGGCGGGGGAGAGAGAGGCAGGGGAGAGAAGATTCGGGAGAAGAGGCTGAGAGAGAGAGGGGGGGGGAGTGATGATACACGGGGAGGCAAAATCATTCCAGGCTTAATTTGTCCCGGATACATTATTATAGAGGAGGAGGGTGGGAGGCGGGTTATTTTATTTGTTTTTAGAAGTGAGTGGAACCTTTAGAACAGTCAGCCTCAGCAGCTGTCCCCCCTCTGTTTTCTTCCTGATGATGAACGCTTGTGTTGCGATCGAAACGTCGTCGTTTTTTTTTATCAAATTTTTTTATTTATTTTTTTGTTAATTTCTTCGAACCAATCTGCGTGACTTCCCCGAAAGATCCAAAGATAATGAATTCCTGCAGTCACGAAAGCTTTAAGTCAAGATTTGAGTGAGTGGGCTTGGGCCGGGGTGGGGGGGGGGGGGGACGCTCACCGTGGAGATGGAGCGATGGAATCGGTGGTGGAGGCCTTCATCCAGCAATTGGATGGGTCGTGGAAGACGATGATAGATTTTCACAAACGATTTCCTTTCCAATAGTTATTCAATGTCAGTTTAACGCCCTGGGCTTTCACGACCAATTTTATCCATGAATATAGATTGTTGGGTTTGACCGCGTCGATGTAAATGTGTCGTTAAACCCGCCACCACCCGACATTCATTTAGTAAGGGGTTGTCACGTAAACAGAACGTGGCCACTTCGTTACTAGTGCAGCACATCGGTGTGTTGGAGAGTGAACCCACAACACAATTGGGTTTACTCTCCAACACACCAGTATGCTGCACTGGTAACGAATTTGCATGTTCTGTTTGTGTTCTGTTTACGCGACAAACCTCACTAATTGGCTGTGTCGGGTGGTGGCGGGTTTAACGACACATTTTTACGCGATCTAACCCATACACTTCTATTATGGAGTTATTCATGTGAGTAATAATTTGTAATTATTTAATATCAATCCATTACTGGATGAAGACATCCTCCCCCAAAGCGGCGCGTTCGTCGTGGGGCTTGTTTAGAGTTTAGACCATACTTCACCACCCTGGTCAGTGGTGAAGTATGGTTGCTGTGGAGGCTGGGAGGCGAGGCTGGGGAGGTGGGGGGGGCTGCAGAATCAACTCGGATCTCACTCGCCCATGACGTTGTTAGCCGCAGCCGCAGGAAATCGAACTTCGGTTGAAACGTTTCTAGGCGGGCGCGGTGCGCTAACCACCGTGCCACCGCTCCACGTACTGAGAGTTGTTCAACGGTAACCGTCAAACCGGTGACCATTTTCATAACCAATTCATTATTGCATCCCAACGTCCGTGATCGGTGTACGGATTGAAGTAGATTTGTTATTATTTTTGTCCCTCTGTGTGTATGTGTTGTCGTGATCTCACGGATTTACAACATTGCACCGTTGTGTTCACTGCCGCCCCACCCGGAGGTGGAATCAAACCGGCTGTCTGGGTGTTTGTTGGTTTTATTTGTGTGTGTGTGTGCCACCTTTGTCGCCTTGCGCCGTCAGGTCGAGTACGACCTCTGGTGACGTCCATGACTCAAACTCTCTCCTCCCGCCATGCACACCACCACCACCACCACCCGCCTCTCGCTGCCTCGCGTAGACTGACTGGGTTAGCGCGTGTGGCAAGGCCGGCGGTGATCTCGATGTCGTCCGTCCACCGCCTCCCGAGGTTTCGACCTCTGCCCCTGCTGCCTCCTCCATTCCCAAGCAAGTGAAACGTCGTACGCGGTATTGAATTTTGTTGAAAAGCCAGGTGAGAAGTCGAGAGAACAGGACGAGTATCGTTCACAAAGAGGGCACCGGGAGGGGGCGGGGGAGGAGGTTGATGATTTCCACCAAGGAGCATTCAAAACCATCGGCACGCGAACTCCGGTCACCGCATTGAGACGCTTTCGGATGCGCTTCTGCGGCTGTCTGGAACGCTCTTCCTCCCCAGTCTAGGACGCCACTGGAACTGTGCACCTTTTAAATCGTCCACATTTACACACTCGATTTAAAGCTTTCGTGACTGCAGGGAGTCATCGTCTTGGTTCTTTCGGTAAAGTCACGTAGAAGGGAAATATTTTTTTAAAAACAGCGTTCGGACGCTGTCTTTCCGACAGTCCTGTTCTTCACCTGAGGACGGCTGCTTGCGTTGTGGCCGAAACGTCGTGAGAATTAAATTTTATTATGTTTTATTTTTATTATTTTATTATTTCCCTTCTACGTGACTTTACCGAAAGAACCAAGAAGATTGACACACTCGTTTCTTTACCACTGCTTTTTGTATTTGCGTTTGTTGTCCTTCCCTCTGCTACCTCCGATGAACATTCTCCATGAGGTCTCTTTCAAGTTTCTTCCAATTTTCCAAACACCAACAACAACACGTTTTATTTCCCTGCTGTTGTTGTTATTGTTTATCCTACACACGTGTCCACATAGTGCCGGTCTCCTTCTCATCACTGCCTGCATCATCACGGTGTCTTCTACTACTACGACGATTGGCTACGTACGGTACGAAAGAAGTTCAACGTGCGTGCACACATTGCCGCCGCTGCTGTGCGTGCGCGTGATGCCAAATCGAGTGATGAGCCGGGGCGATTTTCGATGTTTTTTTCTATTTGTGCCAAATTTGGATCACTCCGCCGGATAACGTCACGGGATCTTGTGCGTCCACGTGACTATATTTGCACGCTTAATACAGGACAAAGACAAAGATCCCCCGTGTAACATTAACAGACTGTTGGGACAAGTGCTGTTCGCGAGCACCTATGAAGGCCAGCACAGCACACGAGGGGGTGAGTGACCAACACCACGCCCGGCCGCCTTTGTCTCCAGAGTGGCGATGTTTACTACACTGCATCAAGTACTCATTTGAAGCTGAGTCGACCTAGAGGAGGCCCAGGAGACCGGTACAGATAATCGTCACTGGGCGTTGGCCGTGAGCGGGAATCGAACCCAGTTCGTAGCGCACCGCGCTAACCGCTACACTACTGCCCACACGCGCGCGCACACAAACCGCAACGTTAATCAGGGCGGCCGCTACGCGTCGAACCGCGAACTTCTGCTACACACGAATGCGGCAAAACGCGTTTCCGCTGGGGCAGTGCCGTGGGGGAGGAGGGAGGGTTGGAGAAAAAACGCTACCCGGTTTAGGCCAAACCGGTAACCGGTTTTTATTAAACCGGGGGAGGGTGTCGTTATTGTGCAGGGTGCTTCAAAAAAAAATGTTGACACCTTATACGGGACAATCGTTTTTAATGGGAAAAAATAACCGGATAGTATCCAGTGTAACGTGATGGCAAATGTAATGTCAATAGCTTCTTAAGGTCAAAGAGCATCCCACTTGTTAGCCATCATTGTCAACACGTGCCTGGAATCTCTTCCAGGTGGTCTCCTCGTGGTATTGTTGCAAATTCTCAGAAGTGCTCACGTTCTGTTTTGTTTAAACACCCTGTGTTTGGTGTTCTTGCAGTTACCTGATCGTATAATTTGAAAGGAGGGGGGGGGAGGGTGGGACCCCCCCCTCCTCCTCCCATCTCTCTCGATCTGAACAAACCGAGAGATTTAGCAACACGGTAGGAGGCGCGGTGGGTCTGGGTCGTGACCTCGCCACGCGCAATGTTTGGGCTGAACGGCTTAATGGGGCACAGAGCCTCGGCGCTTGTTTACGAAATAATAAATAAAGCAGCCCTCGCAGGAAGTTGGGGGGCGGGGGAACCACCGCCCCCCCCCCACCCGTGTTGTGTTACAACAAATGCTAAGGTCCCCCGTATAGCCTTCAGAAGACTGTTGGGGCAAGTGCTGTTAGTGAGCACCTATGAAGGCCGGCACGGCACACGGAGGGGGTGGGTGGCCAACACCACGCCCGGCCGCCTCTGTCTTCCCGGGGGCGATGTTTGCAGTCACACCGCACCAGGTACTCATTTGAGGCTGAGTCGACTTAGGGGAGGCCCATGACCGGTTCAGATATCCGCCACCGGTGTTGGCCGTGAGCGGGAAATCGAACTCGGGTGGCCAGGATCGTAGCGCAGCGCGACCTATACAGACTAAGACGAAGATCCCCCATATAGCCTTAGCAGACTGTTGGGGCAAGGGCTGTTAGCGAGCACTCACCCCCCTCGCGTGCGGTGTCGGCCTCCACGGGCGCTCGCCAACAGCGCTTGCCCCAACAGCGTTCACACGCAAACGGAGGCAGGTCTCGTTGGGGAAGAAGTGCCTCTTTAAACCTCCCTCGGAGAGTCTTATAACCCCGGGTAAATACTTGAGGGTCATTGGTCTTGGAGAGTTTCTCGACCTGGCCGGGTGTTCTACCGTCCTTGCCCCCCCCCCCATCAGCCCCACCCACCAGCACCCCCCCCATCAGCACCCCCCCCCCCCCCCATCAGCACCCCCCCCCCCCATCAGCACCCCCAGCCGGGCTGGTGAGTGAAGGGAGACCCGCGTGGTATCGCCCCCTTGTGGCCGCGTGCTTTGAGCCACACACACAGACACACACACACATACCGTATTGTAAGACGCAAACACAACCTACATGAGGGTATAGGTGCGTCCTACATTCCGGCGAACGCGGTGGCCACGCGGCCGACCGTTTCGAACGGCGCTGAGACGCGGCTTTTGATCGATTGGATAAAAAAAATTGCATCGGCGAATAACGGGATCACTCGGCAAGGAGTTGATGATGCCTTTATTAGTACGCCGATCAACAATCCGTCAACATCGTTACAGCGACGGGCGACGCGGCTCAGACGGTGGCGCGCGTTCGTCGCTTGGCTGTAGAGGGTTAATATATATTTTTAGCGGTTCGAAACGCGCGTCCGCCCCGGTTAATACTGCGTGTGTACTAACCTTAAATACTTTACTATATTACATACCGTGCGTTAAACAACAACAAAAAAGGGCCCGTGAGGTTCTTCAAAAGAGAGAGGAGGTACATGCCTGCCGACGTGACGAAATCCAAATAATGATCGAATTTTTAAAAAACGCACGTGCGTGTGTGTACACCCTCTAGTATCGCTACAAATTGCTCGTTAAGGTAAAGGCGCATCCATGCAATAGCTTGCCCCGTGCCACCGTTGGCACTCGAATTCACGAAGTATTTGCCACGGCGGTGACGCTGCTGCGTCGAAGCCGGACCCCGAAATGAGTGACCATTAAATTTCGATGTAAAGCTTCTTTCGTGACTGCAGCAGGGATTCATCTTCTTGGTTCTTTCGGTGAAGTCACGTAGAAGGGATTTAATAAAATAATAAAACTAAAACATAATAAAATACAATTCTCACGACGTTTCGGCCACAACGCAAGCAGCCGTCCTCAGGTGAAGAACAGGGCTGTCGGAAAGACAGACGCTGACTTTACCGAAAGAACCAAGAAAATGAGTGACCATTGTTACAATGCGTGCACGTTGAACTTCTTTCGCGCCGTACGGAGCCATCCACGCTAACCGGAGGAGGTAGAGAAAGCTATCACGTGGCAGAAGAAGAAGACGACGATGACGACGCCGCGATGATGAGAAGGAGATTGTCACTGTGTGGACACGTCTATCGAATGGCCCACAACAACAATAACAACAACCGGGACAGGGATATGAAAAGTGGTGGTGGTGGTGTTGTTACTGTTGCTGTTCGAAAAAATTGGAAGGAACCGGAAAGGGAGGAGGACGTCACGGAGAATGTCTTGACGACGATGCCACGGAAGAGATTGGCGCCTCGAAAGACGATGGGCGCACACTGCGTGAGCACATTTGCCACGACGGGACGGCGAGAGGAAGAGTGGAAACTGCAAACGACGAAAAGGTTGCAGTGAATACACCCCACGGTAGGAGCAGGAGGAGGAGTAGGATAATTATCCGAGTAGCACAAGTAGCTACACATACTTTCAAGGGCCCCGCACTTTCAAGGGCCCCGCGCTAAATGCTCTCAAGCTATCAATTCTGCACTTGCTCTATTAGTTTAGTACTATACCGCCTTTAACTTCTATGAACGACTGGGTGTTTAAGGTTAGTGATCGGTCGTATGATTTGGCTGTATAGCAAATGAAAAACATACAATTACTTTACTGCGCAAGTTACATAATTAGTGTTTTAATATTTACGTGTATTTTTTATTTTATTTAAGGCCCCTTTATAACATCATATGCTGAGGCCCCGCGCTTCGCTGAATCCGGGGCCACGATCTGCCACTGTCGGCTGATGTCGCCGTCCGCTAGAGGGCGCGCCAGACGGCAGGACCCCTCGCCGCTGACTGAAAACTAAAACTCACTGGGGGTCGATTTTTGAATTTGGGGAGAGACGGATTGATTTTCTTGTTTCCGACCCTTGTGTATGTTTTGCTTTTGTGTATGATGTGGAGCTTCCCACGGGAGGTGAAACACTGCCTTACTGAGCGCCGCGGTGGCTAGGAGATGTTAACTACCTCGCCTGGTACGCAGGAGGTCGTGGGTTCGATCCCGACCCTGACGATGCCTGTTGCTATATATTTGGAGTTTGCGTCTCTCTCTCTTTCTCACCATCATCACAGTGGCTAGGATATGTTTACTACCTCGCCTGGTACGCAGGAGGTCGTGGGTTCGATCCCGATCCTGACGATGCCTGCTGCTTTATATTTAGAGTTTGCGTCTTTCTCTCTCACCATCATCACGGTGGCTAGGATATGTTTACTACCTCGCCTGGTACGCAGGAGGTCGTGGGTTCGATCCCGATCCTGACGATGCCTGCTGCTTTATATTTAGAGTTTGCGTCTTTCTCTCTCACCATCATCACGGTGGCTAGGAGATGTTAACTACCTCGCCTGGTACGCAGGAGGTCGTGGGTTCGATCCCGACCCTGACGATGCCTGCTGCTGTATATTTGGAGTTTGCGTCTCTCTCTCACCATCATCATCAGGGTAGCTAGGAGATGTTAACTACCTCGCCTGGTACGCAGGAGGTCGTGGGTTCGATCCCGACCCTGACGATGCTTGCTGCTGTATATTGGGAGTTTGCGTGTCTCTCTCTCATCATCATCATCATCACGGTGGCTCGGAGATGTTAACTACCTCGCCTGGTACGCAGGAGGTCGTGGGTTCGACCCCGACCCTGACGATGCCTGCTGCTGTATATTTGGAGTTTGCGTGTCTCTCTCTCTCTCTCCCCGTGGTCGCGTGGATTTTTCTCCGGGGCCTCCGGTTTTCCCCCTTCTACATTTAGAGTCAACGTCGCGCGTTTAGATTAGTTGGCTGCCAAAGATGTCTCCACTCCGTTAAGCTATCGTCTGTGGCCTGGTCTCGCCTGGTAAACAACATTTGCTAAATAGTTGGTGACGCTGTGTGGCCAGTGGTGTAACAATAAACACACGACCGTTCGCAATAACCACTGCCTGGATGTATAACAGGCGACGTTTTCGGGCAATGGTCCTTCCTCACTTATTTGTCCGAGCGTTCAAATCATCAGCCGTGGTCAGTCCACTGCTGCATGAAGGCATAGTACGTGTGTGTATGTAGATATAAAAGTGCGCGAGAGCAGCACTTGCCCCACAAGCGTGTCGAGCCTTTAAGGGGGATCTTTGTCTTTCTTTTTTTACATGAATGTACATGAACTCGCGTGCGTGAGTTGCGATGCACACGAATTGGGAGCCCGTGATTTATTTATCGGAGGATCTGTCCTCGATTCGATTATTTGAATCGGATGGTCTCAATCCGCCACGCGCACGCGGAATCCATAAGAATTGGTACGATTCGATTAATCATTACACCGCCCCACCCCAACCCACCCCTCCCCCACCGCTTATGGCTTGACGTGGGTTCAATACAAATAATGTTTAATGAGCATTAAGCTAATTTTCGAAATATATATGTCACGTATATAAAAGTTGATATCTGTGTGTGCATTCGCGTGTTATATACAAGAGTAGAATATGTCCCGTTCGCCCTCAAGGACGGCCGAGTTAAGCGCTGTTAGCGAGCACCTATTAAGGTTCTGGTGCATCCGGGCAGCAAAGCACGCCCGGCCGCCTTTGTCTCTCCGTAGCCGATGTTCTTTTCAGGTTTTTTTTTACCCATTTTCAGCAGCCACACCGCACCAAGGAGCATGACCTTAGGGAGGAGGCCCCCCCTCCACCCCATCGGTTCGGAATATTCGCCACTGATGTCGGCCGTGAGTGATTTCAGGCTGAGTTGACCTGCGGGCGGGACGGTCGTGCGCGTCCTCCTCCTCTTCACTTGAACAGGATTCGGCGTCGTCTGTCGCCCAGCAGCAGCCTGCGTAGGAGTTGAAAGTCAACAAAATTGTCACGAATTGAACTTTCGTTCGCTGTACGACGCGTGGCGTGGAGAGGAGAGCGGTGGCGCAGCAGTGGGGTCAGACCCGAGTTCCCGAGTCCCGCTCGCGGCCACCAACACCCGCTAGGCCATGGCCCTGCGCCTCCCCTAGGTCGACTCAGCCTCGAGTTGAGTAGCCGGTGCGTGCGGTGCCGTAGCATAAGCAGCGCCACTGGGGAGACAAAGGCGGCCGGGCGTGGTGTTGGCCACCCCCCACCCCCTCGCGTGTTGTGCCGGTCTCCTCGCTAACAGCACTTGGCCCAACAGTTCGTTAAAGCTACCCGGGGGATCTTTGTCTTTTGTATGTACTGCATGTATAACATGAGTGTGTGCTGCATGTATGATGTGAGTGTGTGTGTGTTGCATGTATGATGTGTGTGTGCTGCATGTATGATGTGAGTGTGTGTGTGTTGCATGTATGATGTGTGTGTGTGCTGCATGTATGATGTGTGTGTGTGTGCTGCATGTATGATGTGTGTGTGCTGCATATATGATCCGAGTGTGTGTGTTGCATGTATGATGTGTGTGTGCTGCATGTATGATGTGTGTGCATGTATGATGTGTGTGTGCTGCATGTATGATCCGAGTGTGTGTGCTGCATGTATAACGTGAGTGTGTGTGTGTGCTGCATGTATGATGTGAGTGTGTGTGTGCTGCATGTATGATGTGTGTGTGTGCTGCATGTATGATGTTTGTGTGTGTGTGCTGCATGTATCATGTGTGTGTGTGCTGCATGTATGATGTGAGTGTGTGTGTGCTGTATGTATAATGTGTGTGTGTGCTGCATGTATGATGTGTGTGTGTGCTGCATGTATAATGTGAGTGTGTGTGTGCTGCATGTATAACATGAGTGTGTGTGTACTGCATGTATAATGTGTGTGTGTGCTGCATGTATAATGAGTGTGTGTGTGCTGCATGTATGATGTGTGAGTGTGTGCTGCATGTATAATCCGAGTGTGTCATTGCGTCTCACCGCACGAGGGCGCCTATGAGTAGGCCCCCGAGGAATGGCCCCAGCCAGTAGACCCAGTGCGACTCCCACAGGTTCTTCACCACCGCGGGGCCGAAGGCGCGCGCCGGGTTCATGCACGCGCCCGAGATGGAACCCCTGTTGAGGCACGGTGGGGGCACGGTGGGGGGCACGGTGGGGGGCAGGGGGGGGGGGCAGGAGGGGGGCAGAGTGTCACGGGGTGGGGGCGGCGGTACGGGGGACACTGGGCATGGGGTCATGGGGGTACCGGTCACAGGGGCATTGGAGGCAGGGGGGGGGAATCACTGTTTCATTGCTTTCATGGCTTTATTTTGGTGATTTTCGAAAAGTTTTTTGGTTTGGCCATGTTTGTTTGTTGTAGTACAGAGTTAGACTGATGGCCTTGAATCTAAGTTGTCTTGTGGTTGTTGTTTGACTTGCATCCCACTGGGATTTTTGCACACAGCGTTGGTGTACGGTGCCTTTTCTGCAACATTTTGCTGTCTTTTCTTGAATTTTTCTGTTTGCACTCAAGTCACATATTCACTTTAAGATGTTTTCTTGTTCATGTTTTTGTTTTCTGTTTGTTGCGGTTGCACCCGATTCAAGAGCACGAATGGCTCACAGGGCTATACCTAATTTTCGATTTAAAGTGTATCATTCTTCACCTAAGGACGGCTGCTTGCGTTGTGGCCGAAACGTCGTGAGAATTATTTTATTATGTTTTATTTTTATTATTTTATTACTTCCCTTCTACGTGACTTTAACGAAAGAACCAAGGAGAGGGCTACACCTAATCAATGAACTTAAACAACTTGAAAGGATCTTCTTGGTTTTTTCGGTAAGGTCACGTATAATGGAAATAATAAAATAATAAAAAGTAAACATTACAAAGTATTTATTTTATTATTCCATTC